ATTTCGATTCTTTGATGCGCGCAAATTATTTTTGTAAGCCTTGTAAACTTTCTCTATATGTGTCTTTTCTTTCTTTCCACTCCTCCCTCCCCCCTCTCTTTGTGGAGAGCGGTCGTTCTTTTTTTGTCAACTGTCCTAATGCCTCCTCCTTCGGTCTAATCGTAAAATAATGACAGGATGCTACGATAACGTGACCACTTACTAAAGAAGCTCGGCTCGTTTGGTCTCACCTGCATCCCTCCGCTGCGCCCTCCCTCGAATGTATTGCGTTTCTTTCGATGATGGACACTGTTATTTTTTGTTCGCGATAATCATGGGAATAGCTTACAAGTCTCAAGTGGGCGAGAAGGGCGCGGGTCTACTGTCTTCAAACAATTCTTTTCCCGGAAGGAATAGTTCCGACAAGAATCAGTTTAATCGTTCAATTTAAAGGAATAAAATGACCCTAATGGTATCGTTGATGTTACACACCGATAGTCACACAAATATGCGTTATTGAATGAAAACGATTAATTTGAAAATGATACGCCAACTATACATTTTGATTTGTTAATTCAATCTCATCTCTCATCCGTGAGAAACCTATCGAGGTGCAAACAGCTATGTTTTAAAGAGGCGTCATTTTGCAGACGGAAAACACAATTCCGAACACCTGTTACGATGTACCGGCATGTACGCCGCTTAAAGCGGCAATTAAAATACAATAATTCCAGACCTAATATCACTGATGTATAACGTAAGTTATGATTCATAAATACTTCATGCGTTGAGAGATCATAATCGAGAAACTACTAATGTGACTAATGTTTATGTATAACTCCTTTTTTGCCTTGGTTCAACACGTCCGTAAGGTGCGTCTGTCTATTTTAGCTATGTCTTGTAACGACATGATCTATCCGCGATTGTTAGATGCAGATTGTTAGATACACAACTTGATAAGAGAGGCGGAATGAAACAAAAGTATATCCGTAAATTCATATCTCTCAAATTTTTCACGTGTGATATGAAAGTTATATTCTCGGCGCAAATAAGACTCTCTGAAAGGTCATTAAGCAGATATTGAAACGCTATAAAGGCTCAACGCTCGTGCACGTTCCCTGCCTGATTTGGATCGCGTTAACTTGGACTCAAACAAGTTGAGATATACAATAGAAATAAGAGCGAGCAGGCGCGGCGCGAACTCAAGATTAATCGACGAGTCTGTAAGTTGGAAATCCGCGAATGTGTAGATAAATGCGGGATGAGAAATGAGCAACTCTTATGCGTAAGACATGATAAGCTTTATCGGAAAATTACATAAACCAATTGATTAGCAAAGATTAAATAAGTGAAACAAATGGAAATGAAGAAAGATAAAGAGATACCTAAACACAGTCACGCATAATTTACAGGACATAATTTAATTCCGAATTTCGTCAGATGATTAATTGAGATTAACTCTAGCAAGCCACACTTATTTTCGAGTTCCTTTATTCACACTTCGGTCTGTAAGACCGCTCCACTTTGTCGCTTTGTTTTGTTCTAATTAATATTTTTAAGCTTGTATAATGTAGGAATGAAAAATATAAAGTCTGGGTAAGATGTTTATGATAATATCAAGTCAAGAAAATTAATTTGAGTTTAAACATGGAAATGGTGAAAACTAGAAAACCGAAAAACGTTTAGCGGTCCACTGGACTGGAATGTAGCGAGCCTAGGGTTAATGTTTACTCGATGTTTACTACCTGGTGCTCGTTTTAGCTCGTTCTCCCTTTAAGTACGTAATTTTTGGATTATTCCTTCATTTTCTACATGAAAAGGGACTCAAGCTCCAATATTTTTGTAAAGGAAAAAGCCATCAATTCGCTAAAGAATGCATTAGAGAAAGGAAAATCAAAACCATCGGATGTAAAGCGTCATACAGAATCTGTAAAACAACTACAGGATGTCTCGCATTCGCATGTCACTGACACCAGTTCAATCGTCGATGGCGATATCGCTATCAGGTTAACACGTAAAGCGACACGTTTTAATCCAGTCGATCTAGCCCCCGACGTCTGAATCTTAATTCACGACGACGGGATCGCGCGGCATGTGGCGGCTTTGCGAGCCGACGGGACGCAATTTCGCGGCGATGCTAAGCGCTCCCGGCTTAACGATCGCGCTAACGTCGAAAAAGTTTAACGATCGTGTGTAGAGGCGTACGCACGCGAGTCCACCACGAGCATTCCGCCGCCGAGCTAATTATGTAAACGAGAATTTCGCGAAGCTAGGGGAACGGAGAGGAAGAAGGGGCGATTCGCGATCCCTTACACAAGCGGCCTATCTCTCGACGACATCGATCGGGATAAAATCGCGATGCATATACATTGCGAGCGTTTCATTAAGAATCGGTGTAATTAAATGTCCAAGTATAATGCCCTCGATTGGGAGCGGAACGCGAAGTGAAGCACGGCGAACGATGCGATTTCGCTCACCGAGTTCGCGTCGATTTGGCGCTCAACCTAATTCTCATTTCGAAGAGCCAAATTTATTCCAAAATCGAAAAAGAGAAAAATGTAGAAGTTATCAAAAAGTTGCTTCTAAATGACTATGGGCGTTTCAGAAATTTGTGCAAAAGTTTTTGTGTGTGAACTAACCGGAGAAACTTAGCCACTAACAAGTATGACTTTAGATTTACAACAGATAATTTTCTAAGAATTCTGAAAGCGTTTTATCTTAGGTATCTTAGGTACTCCCTCAATTGTTTGAGTTCGCTAACTTCTAGCGAACAGTCCAACACATTTTATGCAAAATTTTATTGAATAACGGTTTTCTGATATAGGTAAATAGGATTTTCTTATCTAAGTGAACGAGGACATAAATTATATTCCTCAGAAAATTGCATGGGGATATAAGAATATCTTAGATTATAAATATTTCTATAAATTTAAAGCTTGTTTGATGCTGTAAAAACATTTTATATTGCGAATCATTCAATGCAATTTTTAAGCGGTATAATCGAATATCTTGGTTATGTTTAATTAAATTAAATTTCTGAGTTATTCGACATCTTATTTGCAAGTGAAAAATAGAGTACACGATTTCTTTTAGCGCCAATGATATTTTCCATCGTAGAGAAAATGTACGAGCAATCGCGAAATCGTTAGGCGAATCTGGTTCAGTTTCACATAAAGGAAAGGCATTAAATGCGAAAATAAACTTGGCTCATGCTACGACGTGACGCCATAAAGGACGTTCGGTGGACGACGTTCGATCAGAGCATGGACTCGCAATTACGCGCGTTCCAGCCGTTGCCAATAAAACTATTTATCATGGCGGAGAGGATGGGAGCTTTCATAAATCCCGAAATAACCGGCGGGTCGATCTGATACACGCTCGCGTGCACGGCTGACGTTCATGAACGAAATGCTTCTCCTCGACGTAGAAATCATTATGCAATTATAACGAATCTAACCGCTGCATACTTTTGCGGAACCGGCGAAACCGCCAAGTGTGTTATCCGACGCGGCATGCCGTTGAAGAACAACTACGAAAATTACCGAAGAAGAACGGCGGTCTGATAATAAGCAGGATTTTTCTCATACAAGCAAATGAAGACGTAACGTATATTCGTTAGAAAATTGTACGAGGGTATAAAAATATCGTAGATCCTAAATGTTTTTACATCCATGAAGTCTTTCTATACAAATTTAAAACTTGTTCTACACTTAAAAAAGATTTACACTGTATAATTTATTGCAATTTTTTATCGAATATCTTGATAATTAAATTAAATTAATATTTGTGTAAATACTCACATGCTCTAAGTTGAAATCACCATAATAAAATCTTTCATTTTCTATATTGATAAAAAAATTTTACACTAAACATTCACTTAGTACAATTTCTTAAGCGATGTAGTTGATAATTAAGTTTAATTGAATTAAATTTTTGTGAAGACTTAATTGTTGAAATCTTAATACAATTTTTTGTTATCTATTAATACTCTCATTTCTCTCTTGAACGAAATATTTTTCAGAATTTGCATTTTATTCAACTGCCCAGAATTTTTTTATTTTAATACCGTGCAACTTATAGTAATTATATATGTTAATATTTCTACTATAAGATAATGCCCATTTTTTATGTATACTTCACATGTGATATTAGCAGAGATTGGAGAATTTTGTAGAAGAAAACACATTAGACACGAATGTTATTTTAATTATACGATACCTTGCGTTATACCAATTTGAACTTTCGTTCATCAAAGAACCGGCAATATTCACGCAAATTCGCGGTAGCGCGCGATAAATTCACAGCGGCGGAAACAATCGAAAGCCAAAGGTAGGCGAATTAAGTGGCGCTCCCTTCGAAGCATAAACAAGTGTATAGGGACGTGAATGGGATCACGTAAAAAACAGATTTCCACCCTCGGCAACGCGGACGTTCTCGCGCACGAAACACGATTTCAGACGGGCGGTCGCCAGGAAGGGCGGGAAAAGGGGATAGGGACTAACGTCGTAAGCGATCCCAGGGGCTCGTCAGGAACGATCTTATGATTGACCGCGTTACGCCACTCCCTGAAGACCGTTTTTCAAAAGCTATTTCGGAAATACCGCCGCCATCAACGCACTTCAACGAGCGATCATGGAGAAATACTCTAAACTAGATTACTAAACTAGAGAGAGAAAGAGAGAGAGATTCCAAGGAGCATAATCTGTTAATATTGTAATTATGAATCTTTCGTAACAAAAATTTTTTCAGAGAAAAAGAAATTATATTCGTCCTTTATAAAAGTAAAGCAAGCTCGCGTTTAAGAGCCCTTGGCCGAAAGTTGAAACATCTTTTAGATGTGATTAGTTTGTGTTGTCTTATAAAAAATGTTTATAAAGAAAGAGTGATATATTTTTTAAAAATAATTGCAATCCGAGTATTTTTGGAAAGAAGCTAGATTATGTTAAATTTACTTAATATTAATTTTAAGCTGTTTGACTCCGTGCAATCTTATAGATTTTAACACTTAGATTTTTACTCACCTTTCTTTTCGTCCTCTTCCTCTCCATGATCAGTCGCATGATGCAGATGATGTACACTAGGATGATGCCCAGTGATCGCCGGTACCAGGGAATGATTGCTCAACGTTGGATGCGGATGATGCGGATGATGATGACTGAGGAATCTGACCGCTGCGGCAGCGGCCTGATGCTGTGCCTGCATGCTCTGCTGGACCTGGCTCTGCACCTGACCCAGAACCGGATGATGCGGCGGCCATCCTGTCAAGTGGAATGGAAACACAGGCGTCGTTCTTTGAAACAATCTGGTAGGGGCCAGTAAGGATCCTCCGGAGGCGCTGGAGCCGCTGCCGGGGGGCAACGGAAAGGACAGACCGCCTCCAGGTTCCAAGACCATCTTCGGTACCAACTCGCCGGCGCTCGTCTCTCCCTCGGAGAGCGATCAGTGCGCTCGCATCAATCCTCAGGATCAACGAAGCCCCGATCACCACAAAAGAGGAAGAGTCACTTAATCACTGGTACACTGGAATCATGTGTCTGTCAAGAATGCAGGGGATATCTGATACCGTTAGACGTTTCCAGTCAACGCAAATTTACGTTTTCCATTTCAGGCCCTTCGAAGCATGATCATTGACACATCATCCATGGACTATCATTGCCTATAAGTCACGCGTTTGTGATGATCATTAAGACGCTCACGAAAATTCTGATCTCGCCGTCTCAAATAGGTCTTTGTATCTTCCATTCTAAGTCTTTTAGGTCATTACCTAGATCCATCCCGAGCGTTGATCTTCTTGGAAAGCAGTGATCTTAAAGAACAGTCATCCAAAACAATGATTCAACGGTTCGAGATTTTTATATTTTGCTTCCTAATTGCAATATTTTATTTTACATATTCTTCATGTTTTTTCGTTTTCGCTTTCAAGATCTATAGATCAATTCTGTAGTTCAAAGTGCAGATAACAGTGTTACACATATTTCTTAAATTTTTTTATGCACTAAGTTGCCTGTCAAATAGGTGACTGGTAGAACTCCACCAGCCGTCGGCCAGCTTAACGACGTTGTCACAGCTTCTAAACGACCTTTCTAACTAAATTCAATCAGTATCACAAATTAGGCTATAATATATCGATCATACATCCACGATTGATGACTCCAAGTGTCGATTTCACCATGTATGAATATATAAACAGTCCTTCACTTGCTAAGCTCGTCGATTGAAGACTGACGATCTTCCACGAGAACAACGTCTTTCCAAAAATCCATCATAGAGTCTTTGATCTGTGACGTCACTGGCAGTCTCACAATTCACGGGAGTGTTTCTTCTCGGTGTACTCCAAAATTCTGTGCACGTTGGGATTAAATCACCGAATTATATTTTGCGACACTTTCCCGGCCACGACACGTCACCGGAGGAACTTCCGGGTCCTCGCGGCACACGAATACGTGCGCGTGACAGGCGGGTCTCCGGGATTTCCTTGGTAGCAAGGACCTGCTAGTGTTAAGACCACTACGGCATGAGCCAACGGCACAATACTATCTGCTCAGAGGCTCGAGTCAACGACTCCCCTCTGTCCGCGAAACTGAAACTGGTTTCAGGATCCGCCCAGAGGCGCCCGATTGGCCGAGCCCACGGCGGGCTCGTGGGTTATACGGAATGTCGGGCCAATGCGGGCGCGAGAATTATATGGACGGCGCCGCCCGCCGGACGCTTTTTTCGTCCTGGAATTGAATCGACGCCTGCTTGCGGCGCCTGGTGGGGGCGAATCAATTGGTGGCTGCCCTGAAACAGGCCGCAAGATGGCTCCTCCCTTCCCACAGCCGCTGCGAGATACCCTTGCCGATCTCATCTGAGGCGCCTCGGATTCGAACCGAGTTGGATTCGTCGTAATGGACAGGCAAAATATATATCAGTGAATTTGTGCGGTTGTTTATTGCTCAACATTGTTGTTTTGCCTTTGTCCATTTTCTTCTTCCAAATGAAAGTTTTCGAGGGGGAAATTTAACTCTTTGAGGCTGGCAGACGCAATTTAAGTTTTATGTGTGCAATTTAAAGATCGCGTTCAATTTTATTAGTACGAGACGTACGATAAAATAATTTAACGTTAGAATTATTGTGCACGATTGAAACTTGAAGGAGTAATTTAATTTATGCCAACAGATATTTCTGTGTACTTTCTTAATTTCAATAAATTTCTGAATTACCAGGATCTTGAAATTCTCAATCTCTGATATTACGGAATGATATTCCATATGGAATATCTTATTGATAAAATTAATGAAATAGGAAACCCTCCTCGGGTCTCGAGTGGACGGACGAGCTTGCGAGGAAGAGAGAGGAAGACCCCCATGATCACGCACCACCACTCCTGCGGCAATCCCCCACTCCGAGAGCTTCTTCCGCCCCTCCAACCCCCGAGGGCGCGATCCTCTTTTAATAAAAGGAGCTCGGAGGCGTTAAGTAATTACATCTATTCTCTGCTGGGGAGGAAATTACCTGCGCCGGATCGGTGTGGGAAAAATTGGGAAATTAAAATTAACCCCCACCCCGGCTTGAGCCCAGCGCGCGCTTGCTCGACCGTTCTGCCCCCTTTCTCGGATTGCGCGCTCGACCGGAACACTTCGTTCTCGAATTTAGGAGGAGCCGGCGGCCATTACCGCTTACGTAATCTTTTTTTGCACAGTGACGGCGGCAGCTTGTTAGCGAAGTTATTTAGCACGCGATTTCGCCCCCCCCCCTCCCCGTTCGTCGACGAGAGCCGAGAGAGAGCCAGCACTCATCTATCATCTCTGAATATTGTTGCCAGAGTAACACTGATAAAGGACAATACTTCAACGCTCATTGTTTTATATCTAAATAAAATTAGATTATTGTTCTAATTTCAGCAATTTATTTCTAGTCGAACATAATTTGCACTATTAAAATCTGTTATAGCATGCCGTGTATGTTGATATATTGTTTAAAATGCATTTGTCGAACAATCTATATATGCATTATAAAATCATCTTGCAGTTTTATTTAATTTTCTCTCTCTAATAAGAGAAATCTAAATCTTGACGAGATAATTCCGCGATTTTTATAGAAATAAATCTTAATTCTTCTTTCCTACAGAATCATCTGTATAATAAAGATCTTAAATTAATTTATTAGATTCTTTTGTACATATTATCGACATTCTCGATATTTTCCTACAACTATATAATTGGAAAATATAATATAATATTAATATAATATTTTATAACGATGATTAAATTCATTAACAATATTCAAATTGCTTACGAAATGCACAAGTTTTCATTTAAGAATGTAATTAACGTTTCAAGAATTAACTTTTCAGTGCGCGAGTAATTAAATTACTTATCGATTGACAATGAGAAATCGCGAAGTTGATCATGTTAGCGAAGGAAAAGAAGAGGGGCTGAAAGGGGTGAAGTGGAGCCATGAAAAATTGATCGAGCACGATATCTCACGTTTAGGTGCATCTTGGTGAAGGAACCAGAACACGCGCGGGTCATACATCAAATACCCGGAGGATCCGCGTGCGCGCGCGCACACGCGACCGTGCTTTAATATAAAACTTAAATAACGACACATACAAGAGGGCGAAGGCGTCATGACGAAAATGGCGAATAATCTTATGAATAAGTTCTTCGTCCGGTTCAACCACAAATATCAAAGTCGCATGAGAAATGAACGCGAGTTACTATGTTTTTTCTAAAATTTACATTCTTAACAGATAAAATCTTAGAAAAGCTGATACAATTTTTTAACTTATAATTTTTTATATTCATATTATACATTTTATTTAAATAAAGGTATTTTAAGCCTAAATAAATAACGGCTTTAAATTAAATATTATTAAATATTTAACAATAAATATTAATAAATATTAATAAATATATATAAATATATTAAATATGTTATTAAATATTTATTAAATTATTAAAATTTTAATTTCATATTTACTTCATTAATAAAGTATAATTTTATTTTCGTGATCCTAGCGATTATCGCTGCCGTACAAATTGGATCTTTTGGGGTAAATTCTGTTTTTGCTTTTTGTACAACGCGGATTGCCATGACGACACCTCGTATCGTTTTATCGTTGATTAGAGAGAAAGAGAGAGAGAGAGAGAGAGAGCAATCGAAAGAGAAAGAAAGAAATCAAGAGAGAAAGTTCGTCTTTAATCAAGGTCAAATCCTCATTTGGCACGTCCTCGCTCGCGCCATCAAATATAATCACCAGAAAGCGCACCATCTTTTTTCCCTCCTCTTGCTTTGGGACTCCACTCCCCTTCTCCTTGCTTCACAGAAACCAGCAGCACCCTTTTCTCCCTTCCTTCAGACTCGTTCTCGCTCTCTCGAATTGAATTTCTCTCCGGCAGAGAGGAGAGGGTGAGAAGACGAAGGAGAAGGTTGCCTTGGCAACGACAGAGGGTTTCTCGATGTGGTTGCCGGGGCAACCTGCAACCAGCGACCCCTAAATATGCGCCCGGAACCGCAGAGAAGAAAGGAGGGGTTGGAGGAAAAGTGAGAAAGAGGGGCATTTAATAATCGAGTTAAATAAAAGCTTTTCCAAAAAGAAATAAAGACAGGACTTGAACCCGAGCAAGACGTAACGAAAGATGTGCTTGTAACTTGCACTTTGGAAGATGAAGATAATAAACACTAACCACTTGTTGTACATCGATTACATATAATTTACATTCAAAACGATATTATAAAGTATGTGAAATTTGATTTACCATATTATATATATATATAAATGTATTCTATCAGATTATTTTCTCCATTTATGCATACAGACGTTCAGATCTAATTTGATTTTGATACAAATAATGAGAGTAATAATAGCATAATAATAATAACAATAATTTATCTTTATATAAAATCCACATTTCTGTTTCGTACTTAGTACGTAATTAACTAAAAATTCGATTTTGATATTAAAAATATATCAAATTCAGAACACTTGATAAAGTCTTATATAGCAATTAGTAAAGCACGAATAATTTTCCGGAGGTACACGCGTAATTCAGAGGAGTTAAATTCAAGGCGACGCGCTATTACGTAAAAGTCACCTTTTGCCGGAAATTAGGCTGACGCTCGTCTCGGGAGACCCAGGCGTACATAATGCGGACGCGGGAAGGACGAGCGAAGAGGAAAGCGGCGAGTTCCTAATTTACACAGCCGCCGCATCCTCGAAGCCCTTTCCGGCCCAGACGGAACTTTGCCGGCGATTAAAACGCTTTAGTAATTAACTGGGTCTCCTCACCTTCCGCGAGTAGCAGTTACCGCCGCCACGCCAGTAGCACTCCGAAACTCCGCGTCTTCTTCTTCCCTCCCTTCTCCACCACATCGCTTGTTTGCATTATTTAACTCTCCGCTGCAGCAGCAGTGGTACTTCATAGCGAATAATTGTCGACGGAGAATGTAAATCGACGTGCCGAAAAAACATACATGCATAAAATATGTCGAAAGACACGTGCGTAAAAAGCGTGCATAATCGCGCGTTTGCAGTTTAATAATAAAAAGAAGAGCACAAGCGAGGTACCGTCGACCAGATTAAATGGAAATATTTAGAGATTATCAATCGCGCGAGGATCAACTTGAATTCTGATAGAACTGAACATCTGAATAGGTATGCGAGGGGGAAAAAATTTGATGGAATAAATTTATGTAAAGTAAATGCTATCTACTGGCCCATCAAAAAAAAAAAACATAATAAACGATCTCGTTTAATTTCATTTCGTTTTTCTTCGAGATCGATGCCGTCTTACCGTCCGCCGCTTAAAATCTAGCGCGTTTTCAAGCGCTGTAAACAGTGCACGTCAGCTTCATCTCCATCTAATCCTGTTTGGTGCGTCCATCGATAAACGCCAGCCCTTCTCTTTACCTCCCTCCGGCGCGAGACACCCTCCCTCTCTCTCTCTCTTCTCCCCCTCACCCCATCGCGCCCTCCCTTCACTTTTCCCGCTTTTCGCACGCGCACACTTGCTCGGTCGCCGAGCTCTCGGCGGAGTGGAGTTGCGCGATAAAGTCTCAAAGTAATTAGCTCGATGTTTACACAGTTTAACGTTTCCCTCGTATCTTCGGCTTTACTCCTACGCGCAGCATCTCAATTAACTTACGGCGCACTTAATTAGCCGGGCCAGCACGCCGCGGCTCGCAAAGCACTTTCGAATCGGTCTTGTCGATCGCCCTTTCCCGGCAGCGACGCGACGGCCCAGGCGTTGCTCCGCTTTTATCATTCGCGCTCTCCCAGCGGGTCGCGAAATTGCGCACTCCATATATTGTTCTGAATGGCTGTCTCTCGGAAGAACGTTGTTATATCGTCGGCCTAATTAATCAATCAATTAATCTTGCTATTTCAGAACGCGAATCTTTACAGGAGACTTACATTTATTCCAATTTTATATTTATCGCTAGAGTTAAATCAATTTTTGTTTGATTTATGTTGAATTTAATTTGACCATGTAAGGTTTTTAGACATCAAATGGAATCATAATGTAGTGATGACTAAAGAATCGCAAACTTATTGTTGTATCATATTATACTCGTTCGACGTGAACGTCTGGCA